AGCTGTGTTTGCATGAAATAGCCATTCACAGAAGTCACAGGTAGGATGGGACAAAGCATTGCCTGTACTGTCATAAGAGAGCTCAGCCAATGCAATTGTTATGCATGGATGTTCCTACAGGGATCCCTGGAAGGACTTTCCTCCTCACCAAGCTGGGGCCAAGGTCAGGAATAATCAGCTGTGGAACAGCAGCTGGTGTTTAGAGGAAATGGTGAGGCAGAGAGCACTTAACCATCTCCACTCCTCCCCACAGGCTGATGGTGTTTGCAGAATGGAGAAACTGGACTAGTATGATGAACATGACAAGAAAAACACTCTGGAGGTGGAGGAAGTAACTTAAAGCTTTCACTGAAATTATAGTGGTCGGGTTCCAGCTTTTAGTATGTACCCTAACAATTAAACATTTTTGCAAGATTTCGGACAAAACACTTCACAGTGAGGTAAAATGCTTAAAATACAAATTAAATCCTCTGTATTCCTGTCAGTCTTGTATGTGAGCTAATAATTTTCAAAAACCTGTTCTAATGTGACTTAAATCTGGTATTGGGGAAGCATTCCCATCCAGCTCCTCCTGTGAGGTGAATTTAGCTTTGGCTTTACCCTAAAGGAAGCTCATAGAAGGATAGACCAGTGAAGTGCTCTAGGTAGGTGGTGGTGTTCCACAGCATTGTCCCTCTTCTCTCAAATTTCCTCTAATTTCCAACTGAGTATGTAGCTCCCTTCTAGACTTTGAAATTCAGATTTCTTCTAGAAAATACCACCCTTGTCCTCAAGACTACATGTTTCTTTTGGACGGTGTGTTTTATATCACAGGATTTCCTCTTAATGTAGATTTCCAGCATGTAGGAAAAGTGTTTTATCATTCAGGGTTGGAAGTTTGTAAATTGAGTGTATGTAGACTCTTAGAAAATACATTTTGGAAGATAATGGGATAGAAGGAGAGGCAAGAGAAAGAGGTAGAAGCAATTTCTGGATACAGTCTTTTCCTAGGTTTTGTTTTCTATGAGGGTTGGGAAGCAAGCTGGCTTTTATAAGCAGCGTTCTGACCTGGATTATCAGGAAGGATTAGGCTTTGCTGTTTTGTGGTGTTAGACTTGATGAAACACAGCATGGAAAGTCATGGAGCAGGTGGAGAATGGTGCTAATCCTTCTTGCCATAATGGTTTATATGACACTGAGTATGTAAAAAGCAGACAAATTGGTAGTATAGTGTCAGAAATGCAGCATTTCCACTGGTCTAAGATAGAGCTTTAATCCAAAAGCATGCTTCACACATGTTTTTTTCCAGCCTTTTGAAATTTTCACGTGCCTAAGATATTTCTGCACTGGTGACAATGCGTTGCTTTGCCCTCATTGATGCAGGAGTGTGAGTAATCTGCTGGGGAGCCATATGGTTCACATTTATTTTCATGTGTCTTTGACATCAGGAGAATAGCTGAGACAGCAGAAGAAAGTGCTTATGTCTTGGAGCTCAGCCAGAACTGAGATCATTTAAGTTTCATAATCAAAGAACTACCAGTTTTCTGGGTAAAAAATGTTAGAAAAACATGATGAGCTTAAAATGTCATTCCTATCAGGATTGTATAAAAATAGGAAGCAGATTTTGCATTTGATGGATGAAAACAGCTTCAGCGGGTGATTTTCTTAGGGGGAGGTTTGGATTCTTTTTCAGAAGGAGGGGCTGCATCTTCCACAGGTTTCATACTGCTGTAGCTCCAGTGCCCAGCTTGGAAAATATGGATATTGAAAGGCAAATGGACAGTTGTGCTGCATAGTGCCTTGGACGTATGAGAGCAACTCAGGAAAGCTTTGCTTCAGTCTGCCAGCATATTTTACTGCTCTTGCTTACCTATTGCATCAGTTATAATTTATTCATACACAAATCAAACTTGGGTGATTCTTTTCAGCATAGGTTGGATTGCTAGTGAAAATACTGATTTTCCCCTTTAGAAAACTACTTTTCATGGGATTTGGGAGTTGGATGGGTCAATGATGACATTTGTTACCAAGATACAAGAAATAAATGATGACTAAGTATGATAAAACCTGAATTTTTCAGATTTTCAGTAAATTTTTCTGGGTGTATATTCATGCTTTCTAGCAGATCAGAACATATGCATTTTGTGTGTTCTTCTGCTCTGTCTTGAGTTAAACAGTGATTCCAGCAGATTTAACATACTGTGTAAGGTACAGTGCATGCAAAATAACAAATGCCCCAGACTCCTGATAAGATGGTAGTTCTGTTTTGGTTGGTTTGAAGCAAAGGGTTTGAATCAGTTATTTTTCAGTTTAATGTTTAATAGTATTTTGGAGCTCACATCAAGGCAGCATAGTGTAAAAGCTCATTCATGGTATCTAGTTTTTATCAGAGATGACTTTTTTCCATCTGGGGGTAACTAGATTACAGACTCTTCAGCTTAGCTTCATTTAGCTATTGTGTAGTGTGTAGTGTGTGAATAAAACCTAAGGGTCATTATTTATGTTTAGCCATTAGTATTAAAGTAGTATCTCTACCGTAAAGAGATTGAGACTTGAAAAAAGAGAAGTGCTTTTGTTGCAGCATTTGTCATTCCTGCCAGTAAAGCAGCCCTGTCAGGAGTTCCACAGCTAAGATCTAAACCAGATTACTGTCAGCACAGTCTTTGTGTCACAGATACTCACGTTTACAGATGAGGATTCAAAGGTTTGTGTGATGCTCTAACTTGTGAGATTTACAGGTGCAGTTACCTTCAATTTCTTCATTAAATGTATGTGTACATATTTTTTTTTCAAGAGCAACTTTCCTTTTCTTTCCTTGAGTATTTTGCAATAGTTTTATTTCTCATTTCATTTAAGACTGGTTCATTTATTTGGCAAAAAAGATGCCTGCCTTTCAATAGCTGCCAGTATTCTGAAACAGTGCATCATCCAGTTGAGATCCAAATAACATTGATATTGATATCAGAAATTGGATACACCCCAGAATGGTTTAGATACCTCATTCAGCAGAAAAAGGTTTTTTAAAATATGCACTTCCTTATGTATTAGAGTGTATTGGCAGTGCAGGTTCTGATTTAGAGTATTTGCTTTTATGTTACATTGAAAGAGAATGTCTCAGTATGAAAATTACCCATCTTAGAAATGCTAAAAAACTGATTTTATTTAAGGTAGTTTTGTTTTGGAACTGTGGTATATATTAAACAAAACAGCATGTTAAAACCATATTTAATATAATTCCAAATTGACACATCCCTATCAACTAGTCTGCTAATGAAATACGCTCTTCCCTCACTAAAGGCTTCCTATAAATATTTCTGACAAGCTTTGTTGATACGAGATTTGCTTCAACTTGGATGTAAATTAAACATGCCTAATGTAACAGAATTTGTCTTTTGATTTCCCTTTTTTTGTAACACACTTTACTAGCAGTGTGTGAGTAACAGGACCAGATCATATTTATCTGGTTTATATTTATAATCCAGGATACCTGCAGGAGGTCTGAAGTGCCTGTTATTTATATAGCAAACCATATACTTAACCATACTTCTAGCTGCTTGTTAGTATTTAGGAAAAGTAATCCTGTTTCAGTGAGCCACAAAATTCTGTGATAATGTCTGTAGGACGCACTGTCTGTAATTTGGATACAGGGCTTTATTTTCTAATATACTTGGTTTTCCTGCAGTTTGGTAGATGATGCTGGGTATTTTGACAGTTTTACTTAATGCAGAAATTTGTGGATTTATGTTTGGTGATTAAGAGACTGAACTGTGTTTTACCTGTGACAATAAACCAGGTCTGAAGGCCAAATGTGTCCCATCTCTAGAAGAGATGGAATTCTAGATTAGCAGTGTACATCTTGTTGCTCTTCCTGCTTTTTATAGAATGATTCCAAGCCATTCAAGAATGGTCAGGCACCCTTCAAATCATTTTACTGCCTGAATTCTGGCAATGAGGTCTCTCATTCGTACCTGCACACACCTGCAGTTGTTGCCTATAAACTGCAGAGCAATGATTTACAAGCTGCATTCTCAACAACCTGTTGCTATTTCGCAACAAATCAAATAAATTAGACTGCTCATCTTAAAAATCAAGGAGTGTCCCTTACCTTTCTCTAAGGTTTGTGTGTCTTTTTTTATTTCCTCTAAAGGAATGCAGCTGTTATCAGTGAGGAGCAATAGATCAGTATCATGGGAGGGAGTTTCTAAGTGTCTGTAGAACCAAAAGAAGAAGGATATTTATTAGTTAAAATCTGGCATTTTTTTAAAACAAGTTTCGTATGTTACTGCATATGTTTATTAAAAAACCTGAGCACAAGTATGAGTGGTATCAGAAAAGAGTTAGAAAATACTAGATTTATTTTTTTGGTCAAAATTAGACTATACACACATGTATTCCTTGGATGGCAGCAGAAAGATGGATGAAGGTAAAGAAACACAGAGTGGGTCTGACTGCTAGTCAGAATTATTTCTCTGTCATTCAGTGGTGATGGTGGTATGAATTTTTGATATAGTATGAAACACTAAACATACTGCTTTTATAGACTTTCCAACATAAATTTATCACAAATTAGATAATAGGATATACTAATCTTTTCTGTCAGTGTGACCCAGTGCTGTAGCAATGTGGATTTCTGCTGCCTTGTGCAACTTTGTTCGCAGGGGTTGGAAGAGGTGCAAGTCAGTGGATCATCATCTCTGCGGTGACATTGAAAGTGGTTTCTTTTGCTGGGATTTGGTTGCTTTCTTGGTAAAAGGATAAAACATTTTTATGATGTAATGGGAAGGAAAACCTTTCCTGGCCAAGTATTTGTCTTCTGAAGTACCCACAGTGTTCATCACTGTAACAGCTTGTAGTGGCTTCTAGGTTTGTATATGAGGTTAATGTTTCTAACTCATTACTGTCACCTTGGAATGTGGTGTCTCTGTAGTCAGATATTGTCACTTGTGCAGTTCCCTTTATCTTAACACATCTGCTGCCTGACTGCAAGTTACCATTCACACTGAAATCTGCCTCTGTTCCAGCGTCTTCAATCCTGAAGAGAGAGAAGCGGAAGAGAACAAAGAATGTCCACTTTAACTGTGTTACTGTGTATTACTTCACGAGAAGGCAAGGCTTCACCAGTGTTCCCAGCCAAGGAGGAAGCACGCTGGGAATGTCCACTCGGCACAACAGCGTGCGCCAGTATACCCTGGGGGAGTTTGCCATGGAGCAGGAGAGGCTCCACCGAGAGATGCTGAGAGAGCATCTAAGGGAGGAAAAACTCAATTCTCTAAAGTTAAAGGTAAAGCTTGTCTAAGACTTTGATCTCTGCCCTAATTTAACTGAACTGTGTCAGAGCTATAGAGGCCCAAGGTGTGTGTGTGTGTGTTAAACAAAGCAGTCCCCTTCTACGAGCTCCGTTTTCAGTTGAAATGGATGTTTTCCTGGAGTTTTCTAATTCTGCTGAAGATGCATTTTTGCTTGGTTATACCAAGTGCTCTTGTAGTTGTCATTGCTGTGTTCCTCCAGGTGCTTACAGGGAGTTGTTCTTTACTCCCTGTTTTCTGCAGAGGGTGGTGGGAGTTAGCCTTCAACCAAGGTAGTGCACACTGAGGAAGTGTGCATGATCCTCACTTTTGTAATTAATTTTTTCAGTCTCCTAACTGTTTAGGGTTTTTTCATAGCTAAATAGATTATTAAATAAAATCATAAGGTCATAAAATTTGAACTGTCATAGAAAAAAACATAAAACCACTCAGGATGAAGGCAAATCAAAACCAGATATTTGGACAGGTTGGAAACCAAAGGCTGGTAGAGTGTTACTGACTTATCCCTTGATAGAGGTTATACCTGTAACATCTCACATCACAGGAGTTTCAGAGCATCAAGTGTGAATTGTGCTGTGTAACTGATGACTAGCTGTAGATCCCTTGGCTGACTTCCAGGAATCAGCTCAAAGAGAGGAATCCCCAGTGGAGTGAGTAAAGAATAGTCAGCACACAAATATTTCACTTTTCTTTTCTTAGCTAGAAAGTAAATCAAGGAAAATCACAGATCTTATTTACCTTGAAAGAGTAGATTTTAGCCTTTATGTACTGGAGCTTGGCTCTTCATCCTTTCCTAACCCTCCCCTTGCCTGGGATGTATCTCCTTTCTTGATTAATTTGTTTTGCTTCTGTCCAGGCTGTTTTGGGGACACAGGCCATACTTTCTGCTCACATTCCAAATACATATTTTTCCATCTTCCCAGCCACTTGTTTAAGCGGATGATTATTAAGATTATTAAGTTTCTGCTAAAAATCTTAGTAAGTATGCAGTGAATAAGGAGAGCCTTTTTGCATTAGTTTCATCTTGCTGGTGTTATATCTTCTACTAGAGTGAAATATTTCTCTTCATCTGGAGCATAAAAATATAAGTAACAAAAATCCTCCTGTTTTAACTAGTCCATTAACCTCCATTTAGTTTCATCCCTGATTATGTGCTTGGGTGTAAAAAGAAAAAGAAAATTTCAACCATGAAAAGAAAATCCAGGACCTGCTGAATTAGTGAAGAGTCACTGTAAAGCACCGAGTGTGTTTTGTTTGCTTAAGAAAACAGGGCCTTGCTGATTGTTCATTACAGGGATGGAAGAGCTGCTTGGTCATTGACATCGTTTCTAAATGAATAAAAAAGTAAATGTGGCATTCTAAGGTGACAGTGTCAGCTGTTATGTCAGCAGAACTTTATTCATTTAATGAAAATGTGCTAACCAGAATTTGCATAAAAAATTACTGTACATCACAGAAAAATGAAGAAAATGAGAAAATGGAGTAGAATGAAGTTTAGTCAGAGGTTTTTCTATTTGAAAACCATTATGTAAATAGAAAGTAACATTTTCAGTGTGGTTTTTGATTTCAGTTTCTCTGGGAATTTTTTTTTTAAATTGCGTTAAAATATACAAATCAGTGAGTAGAAAGTATTTGCTCCTGTAGAATCTCTTAAAAAATATAAAAATACAGGAATATATTGAAATTGAGTTTCCATAATATTAGGTGTTGTTTATTGATTTGGTTGCTAAAAGCAAAGGGCCAAATAAGAAACACCTCTAACTAAAAGCAGATAAAGGCTGCGAAATAATCTTCAAGTCACTTTGGCCATTTAGTACCAGCACTTTGACGTAAACAGTGCTGACAGGAGCATAAACACTTATTAGCAGCAGAGTGTGAAAATTCTGGATGTAAAAGCCATCTTATCAATGAAAGGTGCAAGGTAATCATTTGAGAAAGCATGAGTAAGCACAAAAAATTACCTAAGAGAGTTCTTATTGCTTACTCATAATGTCTCCTGAAATTAACATAATTAGCATGGGACCAGTGGTGTTAAGGCTCCCTGGTCTGTGGGCAAAGTAGGTTCCCTTTGTGGGAAGTTCTAAGGAATAACTTTCAACTAGGGCAAGGCAGGGATGTCCATCCTGCATTTTTCCTGTTATACTGAGTGGGACTGAATTTCACCCAGAGGCTTCACATAATCTTTGGCCTTTGTTCTGTGGTTATGACATTGACCTTTATATTTATAAGGAAGTTTACCCATCTACTATCAAGTTTAATTCAGATGAGCAATATTATGACAATCAAGAGAGCTTAATTTTCCTCTGAAGTTCTGGAAAATGTATTTGGTAGTTTGTGGTAATCTTCCTCCCTCTGTAGTTACCCATTTACTTTTTGAGAAATTTTAGACTCTTTCCTTTTATTAATTCATTTGTTCTCTGTGTGGCAAAATGGAGGGGGGAAAAAGTTAGAGGCAACAACAAGGAAATCATCCTGCAAAGAAGTCAGGAGCTGAGGTGCTTTGAAATAGCAAACTGCTGGCTGGTGGCACTCGTTTGATGTTCCAGCCTGTGGGATGCACGTGGCATTCAGCACATCCCTGGAGGCCAGTCCCTAATGCTCTACCTCTGTGGAGAAAAGTAGTTAAGATTTGCAGGAGGAGGAGAAATACGTGACAGGATTGGGATGGTTCTGCAGGTGCCTTTGTGTGCTGACCAGTTACAGCATTTAGAGTAAGAGCTCTAAAAGTTAATTTTTATTAAACAGTAATTGAATAAAATAGTAAATTAATTACAAGAGCAGGGATCAGAATTTTTCTCCCACCAGTTTCAAACTTAGATTTAATAACAGTGATCTGTTTAAGGAGTGGTTTGAGCCTTGTGTATATAAAACTAGATAAGTCAGATTTCTTAGGTAGGTTATTCCCCTATTATATATTAAACAAAAAAAAAAACCCCAAAAAATCAAAGAAATATAAATACACTCTATTTAGTTTTACCTTGCTAACATAAAATGAAAAGATATAACCAAGAATGCCATTCTTGATTGAAATATTCAGGCTGAGTTTGTGTATGGTGAGATATTAACTTCAGGCAGCTAATTCAAGATGCATTTAATCCCTGTGTGGATTTACCTCTCTCTCTCTCTCTGTAGAATGTACAGGAAAAAGGATGACTTCTAATGTTCTTCTTCCTACCTTACTGAACTAATACATTGAAATACCTGGTGTAAATAATCTCCCATTGTCCCAGGGCCAGGCAGAACTGTTTAGGAAGCTATTACTCCCTCTTTTACCAGTGTAATGTGAAATGTGTAACAGAAAATGGAGTAGTACATAAAATATACCATTTTACAAACCTGTGATGCATCATGATCTGAACCTATGTCAGTAGTATCATTGCTATCTCCAGAGGGATATTTAAGAATTTCAGAGAGCTCAGAGACAGGAATCAATTAAGGTCTCAGAAATTATCTTGTGAAACAATACAGAAAGACTTGATTTCAGAAAGGCATGAAATCTAGCAGGTAATGGCAAACAGTAAATTTAGGTAAATAAAGAACAGATAATTTCTGACCTTCATTACAAACTTGGTTTTAAAAATGTGTTTTTAATTCATATTCTAAATGTGAAAGAAATGCTTGGTCACCCTATCTGTGGTCATTTTCTGGAACTTCCTGGCTGTCATGCAGCATTTTTACACACAGCTTTGTCGATTGACAATGCATGTCACATATTGACATCCGTGACGTACATGTGAGCATCATTTAAGGACTTTGTTAATTGTTCTGTGCAACAGATGACAAAGAACGGTACGGTGGAATCTGAGGAAGCCAATACACTGACTCTGGATGACATTTCTGATGATGACATTGATCTAGACAACACTGAAGTAGATGAGTACTTCTTTCTCCAACCCCTGCCTACAAAAAAGCGGCGGGCATTGCTGCGAGCTTCTGGAGTGAAGAAGATCGACGTGGAAGAAAAGCACGAGCTGCGAGCCATCCGCCTGTCCAGAGAGGATTGTGGCTGTGACTGCCGTGTGTTCTGTGACCCAGAAACTTGCACCTGCAGTCTTGCAGGCATAAAATGTCAGGTAAATGTCTACGTTATTGTCATTATTTAATTGTCTGGGGAGGGGGAAGGTTGTGTGTCTGTGCACATGTGTGCTTTTTCTGTTCTTGAAATTATAACTATTGGAAATCAAGTATTAGGCAATAACACTTGTGGATGTCCAACCTGTTTTTTAAGGCCCTAAGGTTTTATAGTGGGCAATCAATACAATGTCCTAAAATATCTTCAGTATGATTTTAGGCACATACATGGCTTAGGGTGTTTTTTTGTTCTTACACAAGTATTCTGCTTCTTGTACTCCTTTTAGGTCTTTATCTAAATAGGCAGATGCAGACAACAGAAGAATAAGTAGCCTGCAGATTTCAGAAGGGATATTGCGTTTTATTTGAGAAACAACTAGCAGACACTCCAAATGTGAATTATAGTCCAAACCCCATGGGAAGCAATAAATGACATTCTGCGATGCTGTCCTTTATGTAACATGCATGATGCTTTAAAATCTGTGCATGATAAATTTGCATGTAGGCAGTAAAAAGGTATCTGCTAATAGAGCAAGTTTTTCCTCTGCAGACTGAAGAGGTATTTCATACTGTACATTTGCATAGTGTCAGCTGTACATGTCCCAAAATGTTCCCTAAAAGATATTTCTGCTAGTTCTGCTGAGTTGCTGTTGTGCAGCTGAGTTTTCTTCCTGAATGCATTTTCCATCGTCTCATAAATCCAAGCTAAACTTTCTCTGCTATTTTAAATAATGTAGTCTCTTTGCTGTTCCTGTTTTCATCTCCATATGTGGGGAAGATGTACTGGATTGTGCTGTGTGTTTCTCCTGCACATTTTTGATGTTGAGGTGTTACAGTGCAGGTGAAAGTCACAAATCTCAGGCTGTCTAATCAAACTTGCCAACACATGGATTCGGTCACATTTTCAAAAGTTTAAGATATTAGATAGAAGTTCTGTGCCTGGTCTTACAATATTGCACCTAGAATTGACTGGATTACCTTTGGAAATGCACTTGAGTTTTTGTTCCTGTTTTCTGAGATCAGGTGTCCTCATTGGTAACTTCTAAAGGTCTTTGTATATCATTAATTTTGTTTCAATGGGTTGCTAGTTTCCATTATTTTTACCAGATTTTAAGGAGTTTCTGGTAATGCTTTTGCCTGGATTTGAGCACAAAATGAAGTAAAGCTAAAATAGATAAAGAAATTGAAAAGCTACCTATTTTTTGTTCCACTGCGTCATACTTTCACCTATGGAACAGAATAAATTTTCCCTTCTTTGCAATAGTGGAGCATGTCCAGGCCCCTTACTGTTCTCTCAGTGCTGCTAAACTCCAGGGCTGACTCCCTGAATGATTGTTAGCTTTTGACTTATTCTACCAGTGTTTCTCAAGGTGAATCCCACTTCACCTTTGTATTTCTCTAGGCTGTCTAGGCTCTGTCGTGCCACCAGGCTTTTGCTTCCTATTGTTAATCTGTATTCTCTTTTTTAAAAGGTGGATCGTATGTCTTTTCCATGCGGTTGCACTAAAGAAGGGTGTAGCAATACAGCAGGTAGAATCGAATTTAACCCTATCCGTGTACGGACTCACTTCTTGCACACGATAATGAAACTTGAATTGGAGAAAAATAGAGAGCAGCAAGTTCCAGCACTCAATGGCTGTCACACTGAGATAAGTGCACACAGTAGTTCCATGAGTCCAGGACCCCATCCAGTTGAATATTCGATTGCAGAAAACTTTGAGATTGAAACTGAACCCCCGGCTACAGTTATGCATTCCCAGTCAGCTGAGGACTTGGACTGCCCAGGGGAAGAGGAGGAAGAGGAAGATGGGAGTAGCTTTTGTAGTGGAGTTACAGATTCTAGTACCCAGAGTTTAGCCCCTAGTGAATCAGATGATGATGAAGAGGAAGAGGAAGATGAGGAGGAAGATGAGGAGGAAGAAAAAGCAGATGATTTTGTAGAAAGTATGAGCTCCCATGCTGATATGGTGCCTCTTCCTTCTGTCCTTTGCTACTCTGATGGAACTGCTGTGCATGAAAACCACTCTAAAAATGCCTCATACTATACTAACTCTTCAACTCTGTATTACCAAATAGAGAACCACGTTGCTGGCACTGCTAACCAGATGGGTGAGACTTACTCAGAAAGAGATGCTGTCAAGAACGGTAGTCTTTCTCTGGTGCCTTACAACATGACTTCAGAACAGTTTGTTGACTACACACGGCCATCAGAGGAAACTTTTAGCAGCCCTCATTACCCTTCTGCAAACCCCTCAGTGATTGTTTGCTGCTCATCTTCTGAAGTGGATGGCAGTGCTCCCTGTAACAGTTTATACACTGAGCATAGGCCAAGTCACCCACCAGTGGAATTTCACTCATACTTGAAAGGTCCTTCTCAAGATGGCTTTGTTTCAGCTTTGAATGGTGACAGTCATGTGCAGGAACACCCTGCTGAGAATTCACTAAACCTCCCAGAGAAGAGCAGACTGCACGAAGAGTGCATCAAATCACCAGTGGTAGAGACGGTGCCTGTTTAAATTAAATTATTCTAGGACTGACTTCCTGTGTTAAAATTCACTCCCATTGGATTTTCCTAGAAACTTACTTTTTTAAGAGGTAGACAATACTTGGACTATAGTCAATGTTCCAGACACATTTTGTTTTCTCAAGCTACACTGGCAGTGGTATTGCACAAAACCAGTTCATGTAAAGATATAAATAAAAATAATCAAGCCTTTTTTTTTGATAAAAATAAAACAGATAAGTAAAAAACACACCCAACATATTTCAAAGTAGCCTACCTATGAACATACGTGAAACCTGCCAAGCTATCTGAATCAAAACTTCCTGTTTTTGACTGTCGGGCCTGTGCAAGATTGTTAAAAATGATACTTTGAAATAATCATGTTTAGAGTCCTAATTTTCAACATATCTGAAAAGATGGTAAGTTTAATGTAAAAATAACTACTGTACAAAAAAAAGGTTTTAATTGTTCTGTACTGTTTGTATTTTATTTATGGTAGTTTAAGATTCATGTTTTGATAAAAATGAACAGCATGTTCATTTGAGCAGAAGATCCATAGTTACTTACGAAGAGCATGTCCACTTTTCATCTGGAGTACCTTGTATTCTTCCTTATTTTTTCCTAATACTATTTCTGATAAATCATCTTGAAACACATTTTTGGAGTGTACTATTTTTCTCTTTTACTGTTCTTGACAAACAGAAGAGTCAGAAAGGGGGCATTTACATCTTCTAGAATAGAGAAAGGTAGACAATCCTCCATTTAAAACTAAAATCAGTGGCATTCCAGAGCTAGTACCCCCTCCCCAAAGAAAAATGATCTTGTATATAATGGCAAAGCAGTAGCTTAAGCTCACACAGCACCTTCAGCCCAGCCACCGTTCAGATCCTTACGCACTTTAGTGCCACTTTGCAGTACTGTACGAACTGCGCGAACTGTGAACCTCCTCGGAGAAATGCCATAGCTCCAGACCCTGAGGCCATGTAAGAGCTTGAAATTCACTGTAACTAAACCTGTACGTTTCTCCCAAGCCAGTTTATGAATATGTCAGTATGCAATTTATAAAAGCAGAGCCTTACTGATCAAAGTTTAAATAAAGCATGGAAAAAAAAGTGGAACTGTCTAGATTGCCTGATATACAAGACTGGCTTTTGTGAACCTCTGATTGTATCTCAAATTTAGTACCATTTGGTCTTATTAGGAAACAATCCATTCAGTGAGGAAAAATAGCTTCAGAAATTTTGTATTTACAAAAGTCTGCAAGCAAAAAAACATGTGCATCATATAGATATCCATTACATTGTGATCCACTTGTTTTTAAATGAAATGGGAATGAAACTAATTTATTAAACAACCTTGCTTTTGTCTAGAAAAGGAGGCATAGGAATCAGCTTTTCTCTGCACTGGTAATTCTGCACTGCCTTATTTTGATTTCAAAATCTATTTCAGCATTTTTGTTCTTCTGATACTGAGATTTCATTTATTATACATCAAATAGTTGAAATGTAGGCCTGTCTTGTCTGTCAAAATACGGATCAGCCTCTTAGTTTTTATCTGTGTCAAATCTAGATGGTTAACAGTGTGCATGTAAACACAGTGTAAATTTTATCTCTGTAACAGTGATTCTTCTGGTTAGAAGCTCTTTAAAACATCATGTACAGTACTCCAGTAGAAAAACTGCCAATGTAAAATACGCTTTTCAAAAAAAAAGAGCTAACTTAATTGTTTTTATATGAAATCTGGGCAAAGTGGTTTCTCGTATTTATGCTAAATTAGCAAAATATTTTTACTCCATGTAGTAGCTGGAAGGATTTTTTATTTACTTGTTTCCACAAGAAGTCCTACATGTTTTATATGAACTGCATTGAAAAGTCTAGTTCTCTAGGGATTGGATTCCAAACTTGCAACGCATTCCATCTCCTGGGAAAGCGCACTCATGTTGGTTATCGGGCCCAGCCGTTCCACAGCCTCTGCTCCTCGCAGTCACAGACCACTCTAGTCTCTTCCTCTAAGGCTGAGCAGCCAGGTAAGTGCCTGTGTTCTCCAATGCCATACAGCAAATACCCATGATTTTTAAAGAGAAACGTGCTAGTCCTTAAAGTTCTGCACTTAAGAATAAATTATTCTCTTCAAGATATTCTAAGGGCAAATATAACAAATCTCTGTGTATACAGGGGTCTTGCTTTAACAGCAGGCTTAAATTAGACACTCCCTTAACACCAGCACCAAAAGCACAAATCTCTTCTGCTTGAGCTGGGACAGTAGATGAGGATCAGTAGTGGCTGTAACTTTGGAGTGTGTTGGAAAACAACTTTACACTTTACTGGGGTACTCTCAGGGGAAAGTTAAATTAAGTCTTTTGCTTTGTTATTTATGCCCTTACTGAGCAATAAGAAATTATTTTCTTGGCCCCTGTGCTTTCACATGAAAAATATCTTTAATAAGATCAGCAAGCACAGTAAGTGATCAACTTTATAAAATACTTCTCAGCTAGCTTTAAATATTGAGGTGATGGTTATTTACTATTTCCATTGGCACAGACTTCTGATCTAGAGTAGGATGTTTAAATCAGGTGAGAGTCATGTTTCCCGTCACTTGTTTAAACTTTGATTTATTTTTTAGAACAAAAAAGCATACTCTTCATTTAAGGAAAAGCGGGCTTAAGTCATGGGATGGAAAATATTTTTGTGTTATTTTCTGGGCTAGTATATACATGTATTAACATGCTGTGTCCCATTTCCCAGCTGGTTAATATTCATGTTGATAACCACTCCTTTGATTTTGGGTAGGCTGTTTCTGTGTGATAAAAGTATTGTTACTAAATGATAACCAGCAGTATTTGCTTCTGTATCAACATAGTGTGTTATTTGTGAAAATATCCATATTAGTGATAGTCTTTATGAGCTTCATTTCCAAGATATCTGGCTGCTGATAAACACTCCTAAGAAGCTCAGTATATGTTTGTGATTATATTGCATCGTTCACAAAAATGAGTCATAACAAAGGCATTTCCCTTTCTTGAACAAACTGGAATTTTCACAGAGACCATTACTGGAACAGCCCCTAAAAGCAGATGCCCTTTTGCCTATAAGGTGAACTTCACCTCTCTTGGAAAAAGGTGCATTGTTAAATATATATAAAGCTTTAATTGATGTTAGACATGAAATTAGAATTTCATTGGCACAATTACAGCAATTGCAATTGTTGCTTAAGAGCTATAACTCATGTCCATTGAAACATCCTTAAAAGCTGTAGTAGGAGCTTCTAATATTCTTTGTTGAGCTGTATGCCACTTCGATCAGAAAATTTTAGATTTGTAAAGCTTTACAATTTTTCATTTGCATAAGTTCCTGCTGGTGACTCAAAATTGGAGTTGACATTTGTTTATGTTAAGGCCATTGGTTCCACTCCATAGTAACTATCAGTTGCTATAGATAAGGTTCAGCTGCTCCCCTGCTCTGTTAACAGTGGGATCCTGCCTTTGGTCCAAGTGCTGCAGGACTCCTGTGTGGTGCTGTTACTCACTAGATTGCTGACTGAGCCCAGGCCAGATCCAATTTCTAACCTGATCTGGCTGTTTTATTTCAGTAATCTGCTAATAAACTGATCATGCTGCTTTCCCTGCCTCCCAGGCAGTACCTTCACAAACACAGCTGCTTTGTTAAAGATCGTATACATATATTTGTATGCAAAACTGAGCATGTATAAAGGGGTTTATTAGTTCAGGTGTTCCTGACAGAAATGTAATACACTGGCTAGAGAGTGCTGGGCTCAGACAGAGGAGATTTTCCTTGGTCTGGTTGTGTCATGTTGTTCTCTGTGCTCTGGTTTGTAATGTACTTGGAGATACTGTGATAAAACATAATTCTATAGAACAGGTAAAATACCATTTTATTCTCATGTTTTGGCATCATAACTAAATTTTTGTACTGCAGACTATGCCATTTTCCAAGTTAAGCCCAGCCCAGCTGAAAAGTGACCAGAAATTTTTCACTAACATGAAAAACAGCTGAAATGAGCTCTCCTTTCCTTAGACTGGATTAATGAGCAAAGTCAAAAAGTGAATTTCACAGTGAAAAATTAGACTAAAAGCTGTGTTGAATATACAACATTTACCTGTCTAGTGCTTAACATTTGAGCAGCAAGATTGTAGTTTTCCTGCAACACCATACTTGGCAGCAGCAAGCAGTCTTGCTCCTCTGCATGTTGTCTTCTTTTGCCAGCTGAATTCTCTCAGTTGAAACTCCTTGTCTGGGCTGCTCCTGCAGCAACGCAGGTGTTCCTACTCAAGCATAAAGCAAGACAGACCCATGATACCCTTTTAAAAGACATTTGTTAAATAAGGGCACTGTTACAGCTCATGAGTTTTATAAACTGATGTTCATTGTGCCAGTTTTATTTCCTGGAACAGTCAGGAACAGAAGAGGATGATATGGAAAATCCTTAAGCATTTGGGGGTGTTATGCTTTCCCACTGAGACTAAAGAATAATTCTATCATCTGCTTTATGACGGTTGCAGGACAGTTGATGTAAAGTACTTTGAAAATCTAGAAGTAATTCAGAGAATATATTCTATAGAATTTATTTCTAAAATACTAAATGTGATTACTATTTTTTTAAAATTGTAGAAAGCTGTTATTTTCAAAACAGAGTCTAGTTCACTTACGTGTTCCCTGGTATGAGAAATCTCAGCATTTGCCTTTTCAGTGTTTCAAAGTTTTTAAAATATTCTTAATTTTGCTTTTCTCTGTTATCATTGTCCATGTGCAAATTGTCCATTTTCTCCAAGAAGTGTCAAATCCAAAGTACAAATATTGTGAAGTGATGAAGAAGTGCAATGTAGTTTTAAAGATGTCTGAGTGAACAAAGGCTTTTCTTGACAAGTTTTTCCTTTTCACTGGCTCTTCCCTCCCCTAAATCCAAGGCAGCTTTTAATTTTAGGGCTAACAAAAGAGTATAGTTTCCACTTAAGGAGGACTTTTCTTTTGACACTTGGAGGACTTTTCTGCTACCCCAATAGCTGATACCCTAATAGCTGATTTTACTTCGCATGAACATCCACTTTATGAAACACCTGTTTTGCAGCCTTAGTATTTTCTTTTTCATTCCTTCTTTCCTGTTGGTGTTTGGGAGGTCTGTTGTACAGTAAGACTTTTCATTAAAATCAAGCACAAGGGCAACTCTGCTGTCCAAAGGACAGTATGAGATCTTGAAAAGTCAGGTTGGGTGGGGTTTTGAACAACGTGATCTAGTGGCTGGCAGGGGCAGGGGCGTTGGAACTAGATGGTCTTCCAGGTCCCTTCCTGACCAGGCCATTCCATGATTCTGGAGTTAAAATATATATTGCCTTACTGCTGTCTTTCAGGTTAGGCAGACACCCACCCCTCAGAAGGTCCCACTGACTGCAGAACCATATTCTTGGTGCTCTGTGTTGCACCTTCTCAAGTGAGATCATAATCCTTCATCCGAGGCTGGGGGTGGAACAAAAAAAAAGCCAAAAGGTAGATTTTGTACTTTATTAACACAATTATTTTAATTTGGAGCTTAGCAATGACACTTCTTTTTCATGAATGAAAAAGAAGTCAAATAAAGTCAAAGACCCAAGTCAAATAAAGTTTGTCGCCCATGTATGTTCTTCTCTATCTTCACTCTTCCAACAAATCATGAAGATGGGATTATCTTTCTTTGATAGGGAAAATGGTGCAAGATACCAATGTGAGTCGTTGTTCTGATACAAGGATCAAGATAATCCTGTCTTCAAACACTTGAGTGAGTGCAGGGAGGATAGAAAGAACAATTTAGAGGAAAAGAAAGATAAAAGCAAGAGGCAGATTGATGAGGATTATTTTTCTTCTAAAGGGAAAAATAAAGCATATTAAAAAAAAAAAACAATGGAAGGAAAAAGGTGAATTAAGATCTCTTCAGAGCAAGGATGGTAAAGTAGATGGACATTCACTACAAGCTTGCCCATGTTAGACTGAAATATTGTTTCTGTTATTTGATATATTATAATGAAACATGAACTCATTGGAAACAGGAAATTACATTTTTTCCAGACCAGATTTATTCAGGTGGCCATTAAATAAAAAGACTTATCCAAATCCATAGAGTAAAAAACCTAAAAAGCAGGACCCTAGAAGCATTGCTACCATGTCACTCTTGGCTGATGGCAGTTCAAAAAGGCAAGTTAAAAATTGTTGTAGTTAACTCTGCTCCCAGGCATGTATTCTTATATACCCAGTCTCTCAGCTAGCAAGAGATGCTAAAAGCAAAGACAAAATGTTCTTTTATCAGCAATTTCTCTTGGCATTTTCAAATGAGGCTTAGTACATTATGGCAGGTAATTATTTTGGCTTTCTCCATCTTGAACTTCTAAAATACATTCTTAAGAATGAAATTATGGGTTGGATTGTGGATGAAGGTCAGCCTTGCTGGGGTAATGAGGGAATCACTGTAAAGAACCATTTGTGAGTCTCAGATATAGATTCAGCACCAGTTTTCTGCTTCTTGAAAAGATCATGATGTGCACTGGCAGCTGGCTCTCTTAAAACCAGAAGCAAGCATGCTGGTTTTTTTCAAGCCATTTCACACAAATGCCATAACTTCAGGTTTCAAATGCCCATGTAAACAAGGCTTAATAACTGGGCACTTCTTTTAACTGACTTGATTGTAGGCACTTCTATGGAAATATGTCTGAAATGTAGTTTGTGAAATATGTTTAAAATGTGTTTGATGTCAAATAAGCGCTAGACATTTAACAGTGCAAAAATAGTAAAAATCTGTAGATTACAAAACTGTTCCTAAGATCCTCAGCCTGTAATATTGTCTTAGTAAAGTCGATCTTTTAAGTTACATTGCATTCTGGTGTAATAACCTTTTACAAATAAAATTATTAATACAAATGTACTTGTTAATACCTGTTAACATAAAATATGGCAGTTGGTTATTTTGATTTGTTTCAATCTCCAACTAATAGAAATTTTGTTAAAAAACACAAACAGAAAAAACACATTACCTTTTATATGTTTAAAGTGTTTTGTTTTAACAGACTATATTAACATTCACAGTGTCTAGTCCAACCCTGTCTTTTAGCAGGTTCATCTCTCTCTGTATACATACATATATATATTTCCCCACAAGAATTTTGAAATGCTTTGTTGGCAAGTGGTAAATAGTACACCATGGCATAAACTCAGAAGCACTTAAGTTGATGGTCTTTCAGAGAGGTAATCCATTCAAATGGGACTAGTAAAAATGCATAATTGCAGTCATTAGTTTAAAATTTGTACATTACTTCTAACATTACTAATTTCTGAGAAAAATAATTGTTACGTACTTAACATTTTCCATTACAGATGGTCTTGCATTCTAAAATTATGGAGGTCTCAACAGTTAAGCAAGATATTTATTTGGACTGCTGCTTTTAAACTGTTTGAAGAAGCAAAGGGAAAGAAAGTTCATCTTAAAATCTGTATGTGGAAATAATTTTAAGCTTAATGAACTACACATTTCCTTAATTTCCTTTTTTTAAACAAGCTGTAACATCAAAGATGCCAAAGGGTAATATAAGCTACAATAATATTCAACAGAACTTAACCTAGATCTTATGTTGTAATAATTTATTCAAATTAACTGTATTCTTCTGTATTTATATTTTCGGTATTTATTATGAATGATATGAAATTTGATGTATTTATTGTGGCTTATTACTGCAGTGTATATATTACAAAAATGAGCATTTTTAAGTCTTAATATTAGTTTTTTTGTTAATTAGTGGCACTTGTATCAGTTGTATTTTTATTATATATTGTACAATATATATTGTCCATTTGTTTGCAATGAAGTAAACCAGGTTTCTACGTTACATCCTGCCTGCCAGTGCACTGTGTGTCTCATTTCTGCTCTGCAGTCACTAGAGCCTCTCACCCCTGAGAGCTGCCATTAGTACTGCACCTCCTCCCTGACACCTGCAGAGCCTCCAAAGGCACTCTGTGAAATTTCAAGTATTTCTCCCATTCCTTATAGTCTGATAGAATAAGAAGAAGCAGTTTGTGTGGAATTTCTGTGTGTGTTCTTTTGTTTCTAAATATTTGTATGCCAATTAAATTAAATAAACAGAAATGCCTTCTTAGGTATATCCATTTGCCCTTTAATGATACTACTGCCTACAATTTTCTTTGGCCAGGGAAATACTGTATCTGATTCATAATAAGGTAATCAAACAATTGTTGTCAACAGCTGTTGGAATAAAATTTTGCAACAGCTCTCTCTGGTGGACAATTTGCAGTAATTTTATACATCAGATTATTTCAATGGCAACATTCAAATACTGCTAAATTTCAGGACAACTGCTTATTTTGAAAACTGATGATCAACATAGTTTCATTAAAAAAATTAACAACTGCAGCACAATCTCTGCTATCTTTTTATTCTGATACTTATTCAAACTGAGATGCACATTTATAAAAAATGAGTTGTCCTTAAGTTTGTTTATATGATAAATTGCATATAGCTAAATTGTTTGCATTTTAAAAAACTGATAAAGATGAGATGCTGTGCTCTAGATTATAAGAAAGTTCTCACAGGAATCAGGGTATGACATGGTTGTAGTCTGTTGGGAGTCCCATATTTGCTATTAGACTGCTTTTGGCATTGCTGTGAACTGTGGTTAAAAGGGCTGCTCCAGGGCTTGTTAAACCATACTGATACAACAAAATGGAAAACTTTCAGCACTGGTTCTAATTCAAGATCCCTGGATACCCACTCAGAAGTAGGAAGATTTATCTCTAAAGGTTCACTTGTAAGTTGATCTGTTAATAGTACTCGCATTATTCTCTACTCACCCTAGACTAAAGCAGCAATTACTCCCAAGGGTGATAAAAAAAAAATCCTCGGGTATGGTGGGCTGGCAAATCCCACTGCAGTGAATGGTGTCATAACCAGGTGGAGGCATGAGAAACCAGTAGGGACCTCGTGTTCATAGGCAGTAGCACCCAGAGCCACAGGCCCTGAAGTCCCAAAAGGTTCAGGACCTGCTTTGTCCTGTTGGGAGCGTGGCTCAACTGGCCTGGCCTGACATCAAGCCTTCTTCAGCACTTGTGATTACACCCTGGATGTGCAAGAGAGCACAGTGAGATGGAGGTTAACACTGATGCCAGCTGTTCTAGTAACCTTCAGCAGTTTATACAGCCATCTGACTGAGGTACCAATTTTTACATGCTGTGTATGGAATACTATTCCCCTTTGTCCCCTTCACAGGGGCAGGGAAGGGCATTATAATGTTACTGAAAGATGTCTGGCTTAAAAAACCACAAAAGACATAAAAGAGCCAGAGAACGCCCCTGCAACAAACTGCTTTTCAGCAAGCCTTTCTAATTTTTAGAAGCTATTAGCCACTTTCAAGACAATATTATCAACAGCCAGAAGATGCTGATGCTTTTCTATTAGCTTAAAAAAACCACAGAATCCAACTTCCTAAACCTCTAGTCATATTTACTCACTCTTATTGCTCTCCTAGTATTATATCGTTATATATATATGTGTGTACACACAAATAAACACACACACAAAAATATTTGGAAGTGTAATAGTCACAGTGACCTACACATTAATTTTAGCTCCTCAAACAGAACAAAAAATGTCACTTAAAATTTTGCTCTACTTATAGATCTGCTTCCCTCTTTTCTGGCAGGTTGCAGAGAGTCCAAGTAAGACTGAACTGCTGTACTAGGTACTGCAAAATACAGACTAAAATGTCACAGTATAAGGAACTATGAGAGTTAACATACCATAAAAAAATTATATATAATATGTATTTTGTAATAGTGACCTATGTTAGACCAGAAAAGAAGTCTCAAAAAATGAAAGGAAAATCTTTAAAAGACCATTTTAAAATCACAGAATTAATTTCCCTTTCTATATCTAGAACTAAATACAAAATATAATAACTAGGTGAATTGCTATACCTAATCTCTGCAAAAAAAAACTTACGTATATTGCTATATCTGCAAAAAAACCAAAAAATACAAAGTGGAGCTTCTCTAGCATTGCTTAGGAAGAGGTTCCTACTTCCAAGTGCAACAGAACACTAGTTTCCTTACAGTTTAAATTCTACCCTGGTTTGAAATGTCGGCTCTTAAAAATAAAAATCTCAAACAAATAGCAAAAAGCCAACTGATAATCAGTAGATAAATGATGTTTCTGCAGTGCAGTATGACAAGCTTCTAAGCTTCTAAGAGAAACAGATTGCATGAAGAAATGATCCTTTAGTGATATTAAAAATAATGCATTTTCTGTATAACATGAACTGAGAACTAAAAGAACAAGTGCTTTTAAACTGGTATGCTAAATACCTTGTCTTCTAGAACAGGTTCCTTGGACACTGAGTTTCCATTCCATACCCAGGGTTCAACACAACACAGCTGCTCTCTGTGTAATCTCCCATCCTCTATTCATATTCAACAATTTTCCCACTGACCTGCATTATGTTTTTCCTTAACTCCCAAGTTTTATCAAGTTTTATCAAGTGCGTGTATTGGCCTTCAAATACTGGTTTGACCTGCAAAAGTAGTAATACGTTGCATTCCATTACCAAATTAAAATATTTATCAGAGGATGCAGGCAGATCTTTGTGCAGTGTTGTTCTACACAACCTTCCAGTCCCAGTGGCATAAGTAACCCTTCCTGGTACAGTCTTTCCAGCAATTTCTGTTCACTCTGTATCAAGTTATATTTCAAGTCGTACAGCTTTTATTTCCTGGGATACTCTCAGCAGGTGTCTCCAAAAGCCTTACAAAAGCTGAGGCACAACTCAAAGGCATTATCAAGCCTGAAAAATAAATTAACATTAAAGCTTCTGGAAAATTATCACTGGTCCTTGTTTATACACTTGTCTTTTAGATAACTTATAAGTACTAAAAAGAATTTTTCTTGCTTTTATTCAGAAACTGAACTCATTAGTCAGGTACCATTAAATTATGAACAGGCTCCTTCCCCATCACAGAAATAAAAAAAAAAAAACAAAAACCATATCATCACCCATTAACCCACCAGACTTAAATTAGCACTTATCTGTAGTGATATTACTTACTTACTAGGACAAAAGAACATATTTATTATTAGTGTATTTTTGTCCTATTCAGCCTTTAATACCCACTTCTTCAAATTTATTCTCAGCTTTATATTTGATCATGCAGCCAAATACTTTTGTCTTCACTTTATAAATTTTAACAAGTTGATTATACATTTGATGATGCCGTATTATTTTCTATAATATAGAATTTCTATTTGCTATATTATTTTCTATCAGCAGAATAGTTAAGAAGGCCAAGGTCTCACTCAGACTGATAAATCTGAAATCAGTCCTTTGTAAAAGGGGAAACAGAAACAAGAAAAAATATTAATATGCAAGTGTTGGCACAAGAAGTTATGTATGGATAACATTAGAAACTTGTGATGTAAATATTGCATAAATCACTAGAAGGTAGGGGCAGAAGTTTACTAGAGAACATGTAGTTTAAAAGCAATAGTGAACAAAATGCTGAAAAAATGTGTGAATGTTAAGCAGCTCAGAAGCCTACTACAATAAAACTTTATAATAATTTTTAAAGTCCACGAAATATAAAAACGTGTACAAGAATTTCTGGCTAAACAAAAGGTTAGTATCAAAATAAGCAGATTTTCCATTAAAATAATCATAAATACATATTTTAGTGAAATTACTTTTTTAATCTACAACTGACTTTCTAGAAGCCGAGCACAAGGTCATATCCTATTTGGCTTTGACCTGATGGTCTAATTTTTCAAATGAAGAAACTTAAAAAATAGAGAAAGTTCACGGAGTAAATTATTGCAAAAAATAAAGTCAGCCATTTGAGCATATAAACCATATATATAAAGTGTATTGGGTTTTAGACAGCAGACAATAATTTCTCACAACACTACAGAGAAAATTAGTCGTCTTCAGAAGTACTTACAGTATCTCAAAATAAACCCCCACATATGGCCCCTAAGATAAGAGAACAAACAAGATCCATAAATCAGTGGTCAACATATAAAGTCTTATCATAGAAATATTGTAAACAAAATATAACCAGGATCCCAATTATCTTTGGTATACCAGAGTCCCAGGGAATCTCTTATGACACATTTTATATCCAACTTAAGAGGGAAAAGAAACTCTTTAAACATTTTGCATTTAAACAATCACATTAAAATCCAGTATATGCATATGACACAATTCAGAATGGTTCTTTTAATAAAATTATTCTGGCCTATAATATCAAGTCTTAATTGTTCTGGCCAAAAATCCACTTCTGGAAAGGGTCTGATGGATTACAGGATGCCAAACTCGGATGCTCTCCATTTCCTGTAAGGCACATATGTAGTGCTTCATTGTATAGAGTTTGATCCTAAAGTGAGGAAAAAAAGGAGGAAAAGAAAAGTGACCAAACAATGAACATGCTAGCTCCCCCCACAGTTCTTCCCCCAAGCTGGGTGCTAAAGAGTAAGCTCATACAGGTGGGTGCAGAGGGGGCTAGAAAATACATAAGTAGTGTGTAAGTGCCTACTTGCTTTGTCAGGAAAATTTTGTGAATTATTTTAAAAATACAAAACATCTGAATTGACTTCCAGGTGGATGTCTAGACAAACATACTAAAGGATATCAACTGGTTTTTTAAGTGACATTCCTACTAGTGACATCAAGTTTTGATCTGTAACTGAAAAGCCGAAATTATCTCAATTTTCTGGCCAAAACTAACATTTTTTTGGGTTCAGAGTTTTTCTTTTGTTGGTGTTTTTGCTTTTATTGAAAATCCAAAATTAACTAATAAAAAGGTCATTTCACTGCTCAGGATATGTACCTTCTGGTGCAGCCACTGCTCTTCCCCAACAGCAAAGGTTTTCTGGCCTTTGTAGGTGCACTCACGAAGCTGCACAGGTCCCTTGGAAGCATGCAGACAAAGCTCCTTCTGAATGTTATGGCGAATTTCGTGGTGTGCAGAATATTCAAAGTACTATTTAAATAATTTTTAAAAAAGTTTGGTAAACAAACACAAAGAAATTATTAAATTAATATTAAATTAAGCCTTTCAAATTCTCATACACAAAATAATAAATTTCTTATTAAAAAATTTGAGACTACAGAATAATTCCTCTGATTTTTAGCATAGACACTTCGAAAGTGTTTACAAAACTAAAAGCAGTTTTTAATAGTAATGCAATACTAATTTATACTTGTATGTATAAATTGGAAATAACATTTGCTGCACGTGTGATGCAAAATCTTAGTCCCACACAGACCATATATAATTCAAGAAGACAAAGTGAAGAGTAGAGATAGTTAAGATAACTTAAATTTTGGCATTTCTTAAGTAAAAATCTGCATTCAATTCTGTTGCTAGATTTTGGTTTTTCTTAGAGCAACCAAAAAGAAAAGTTGTCACACAAAACAGCAACTTTTGCTGCTCAATCTAGACAATAAATATGAACAACAGGATACAATATAGCCTATTGTGAGATAACCATTAGAAAATTATAAGCATGTATTTTGTGAGCGCATTTTACCATGATTTCCTGACAGCAGAGTACTCGTGAGACTCAGCTATAATTCTGATCCTAACAGGGATTTACTTCTAAAAGTTAGAGACACAGCTATTCTTTTACTCCTTCAGCCCTAACCTAACATTTGGTCTCTTCCTTTTCTCCCACATTTACCAGCAGAGTCCCCAACATCACATCTCACTGTTTCTTGCCTCTGGATGTCAGCCACCCTCATCATATCTTTCCTTTGAACATGAAGGCCAGGCTCAGTTACCCCCCTTGGCCTTCTGTTTTCCAGTGGTCAGCAATCACCTCCTTGCTACCTTGGGAACCATGGGAACAGCACTGAGGAACAAACAGGCATCCCACTCTTAAATCCCTAGGACCAACATTAGTCCTCAAAACAGGTAGAGAAGGAGTAACCTGCCTAGTCATTTAGCTCTCAGACATAGTAATTTACTCTTCATCTGCCAATCTGACTTCATCTGTCCTTTTATTTTTGGAACTTCAACATCTCTGCAAGCCCTGAAAATAATGACTTGAAAGCTATGTTTAGAACTTTATTAATTTTGGATATTGAGATGGGCATGCTCCCAGCCTCCAATATTCTAAAAAGAAAGAATAATACACAACTGATGTACAACTCTGAAAACTACTTTTCTACTCTACAACTCTACAACTCTTTTCTACTCCCATTTCAAATATATGGACAAAGATGGCAGCATGGGAAATATCAGCCTACACTGCTGAGAGTCTGGTAAAGAAGGGAGGACAACTGAAAACAGAGCATTGTAATGAGAAGGGTTAAGTAAGCAGATATGCATCTCTTAAGCATTATCAGCAAAATCAGGTCTCTGAAGGCTGGCATTTACAGGGATTCAGACTGTTATTTTGTAGCAGGAGAGAAAACAAAAAACGAAAGAATAGAATTTTAGTATAGCCCAAGATAACTTAAGAGAACAATAGAAACATACAGTAGATCTCTTTATACAATGTCTTTCTACAGGGTTCCCAAATTAATGACTGTGACAATGTGAAAAGGCTAATAGTATTAATCCACAATCAAATAAAACCCCAAATTCAATCCCGTAAGAAGCTAACATAATAGGGTAGTTCTTAATCTAGACAGCATGCCATGGCTCACAAAAAATTATCAGGAAGAAAGTATCACCTGACTAGGATTATGTGTCTCAATTTTCACAGTGCCATCAATGTGCCATGGATGTTTTTTAAGATTGAAAAAAAAAATGTATTAGCACCCTCCCCCCATAAGATAACAATTATATTCTAATAAAAATTTTTAGAGCTTTGCTGACCTTTAATTATTAAGGATCACTTTTAAACAACAGAGAAATGTGCATTTCTGGGCAGGGAAGGAGATGTTCTTTTTGTTAGTATTACAGTTATGATGGAACAATTGAGTATCTGAAATCTATTGCAAGTCATATTGCAGAAGGAACAGAGCATCATGGCTGCCTCCAAGAGCTATGGACCAAAGAGAGCTCCTCTTGAACAAATGGAATCACATTATTCACTTGCATTAGCCAGTACAGGATAGGCCACTTTGACCTCACACTGTGAGGCTGCTAGCGTGATAGGGAAGGTGGCTCAGGCCTGGGCACCTGGTCTCCCATTGGCTGGATTCCAACCAACATCTTCCTTGACAGTGCGAGTCCTGGTGACAGAGAAAGAAGCAAGAGGAGGAAGCATAAGGAGAGGAAGAATTAAGAAGACAACACTTATAAGACAGAAGTAAGGGTGGCATGAAAAGGTTTTGCATAGAAAAGAGAGGGCAAGTGAAGCAGTGCAAGTGTGTTTGAAATCTGAATTTATATATTGAAGTTAAAACATTAGAAACAGGACATGACATGAAGAGTGGTATGGAACTTTTCTTTAAAAATACATATAGGAATTAACTGTTTAAGAAAATAAAGGAAAAATGAGATAGAGAAATTGTATATTAAAAATTAGTCAATTTCTCTAAAATTAATTAAAAGTTTTTTTACAGTAAAGCTACAACAGAAGAAAGAATAAAAATCAGGTATTAAATATTTTACCTGGTTTCCTCCAAGTCCATGACAAGAATACATAATCAAGGGTTTGCCACCATGGTTATTTTCACCAACATCCAGACACATGCGGTTACCTATATTTTTTAACTAAAGAAAGGGTGTTGTCAGGATAAAAAAGCTCAGTGAAATGACTGGAGAAGCTCAAACTCTCTCAGTCATAGACAAAAGTCACCTGTAGTTTAACAACAATTACAGCAATTCTTTCATTTTTACTTTCTGCTATGCTCAAATCTAAAAACCCTGTTTCCCCAGGTTATCTTTTCGAACTAAAAGCCTAGTAACTACAGTCACACATGGAATTATTAGCCTGCTCTGTACAATGTTACTGTGATTCAAATCACAGTTTGAACAGATACACGTAAAATATTTAAAACAGGAGGAAGGGAAAGTTTTATTTGTAGCTACATGCTGAAAATTCATGTTCACCTCAAACTGAGAGCTACTACTTTTTTTGCTTGTTTTAGCAATGCAATGTCTAAAGTTATTTGGCAGGGAAAATTACTTTTGACATAAATGAAAAATGAAAATGACACAGCTATTGACAAAGCTATAAAAGGTGTGCAGAACAGATTCTTTGTCCAGAGTAGTGACAGAAAACCCTAGAGCAGTTAAAATTAACTGAAGTCTAAAAGCTATGGCTAAGGTAGTACAAGAGATTAGCAAACTTCCTGGACTAAGAAGAACATAGGAAGTAATTAAAATTAAACTTACATATCCAGAAAACAAAGGATTCAGGTCTGGCACATATGCTTCTGGATAAACATTACTGAGGTACCAGGTAAAATTTTTACACTGCAGGCGCTGCCTTAAATCAAGTCTTTTTGATATGTCTCCAAATGTTTTCTGTTAAAGGAAAGGAGGTAAAGAAGGATGGAAGATAAACATATTAACATTCATTTTTCACATGTAAAACTATGATATTCTGTGTAGTACTAGGCAAGTTTTAAGCTTCCTTTGTTGCTTTTTTTCTTGTTTATGCTGTACTACAGCAGTTACTGCTGTCTTTCAGTGTCATAACACCACTGATATCCTGTCTGCAGCATTTCAAAGGACTTGCAAGAAAAATATATTGCAAGATTGAAAACACATAAGTATCTTTAGTCCCCAGAAAGTTTTAACAGAGTGCCATGAAGAGGGAAAGTCCAAGTAAGAACACTGATTACAGCCATAAAGCCAACTGATCTCACTAAAAATGTACACTGAAACAACAAACTGGATTAATTAAATAATTAGCATAATATCCAGTACTATGTAGAATCTCCCAAACAAAATTCAGCTGTTTAGCTGCTGAATATGCCTAGGAAACGTAATGCTTTCAGTGATACAACAATCACAAAAATTTATCATATGAAGGGGGAAAAATAGCTTCTAAAAGAAAACTTAGAATTCTATCTGGGCAGAAAATGTACAAAATAAACAAGCCAACACTCAACCTCAACCCCAAATATTTATTTACTTGAAAATAACTGACTTTTTAAGCAGATAGAGACAGGATTTTTATCCATCATCAGGTAACTTTTGTTCTGCTGCTAAAGAACCACAAAACCTGCTTTTTCAGTAAGAATACTAAGCAACTTGAAACTAAGAAGACATTTTTCTCACTCCAGAAAATAAGTTAGTTTACATTGTCTACATCCATTAGTTTCTCTCATGTTCTTCTGGTAGTTCCTGCATCCACACAAGGCAAACAAGCCAGGAGAATGTATGAAAAAAAGCACCAATTAAAAACCTCACCATACAAAATCAACATTCATCACCCAAACACTTTAGGTTTTTTCATGTTTGTTGGGACTGCAGCTTTAAGCGAACAAAACAGTCTTTTCATTAAAACATCTAGAACCCTTACATACTTTGTCAATAAATAACTTTTGCTCACCAAAACTTTCACCGCAGCAAGTGTGATTTCTAATACCACCACCACCACCTACTTGTTTCACAATTTTTGCTGCCTCTGTGTTTCTTCGGTAAAATATTTCTTTGTATTCATCCATCCACACTTCTGCAAGGCGAACTTGATTACGTGTGATCACCTGAGTACCTTTTGGGAAAGTATGGGGACTCTTGCTGCGAAAGACATGGCCAACAACAGAGCAAGGCATGATCTCCAACTGTCCACCACATTGCCATACCTAATAATAACATTTAGTGTGTAAGTGCACTGCAATTAGAATCCAGGGAGTGGAAAAAAATTCAGTAATACTATTGGTTACCAGAACACATCAAACCACTAGCAAGAGTACATATATCAGGCATGCCATTAGTGAATTTCCTAATCATATAAGCTCTGGAAACACACCTTTCAGATAGCAACCCTAAAAACATTTTAAAAAAAACATTAAAAACAGTTTAGTGAGCATGCTTGTATTTTATTTCATAGGTAATTAGTAACTCAATTTTCCTTGTCCTAGTTGGCTGATTGAGCAGAGGAGTCAATATCTAATACTAATTTATTCTCAAATCCTCTGTACACTATCAGCATAGAGACAGTTGCTAATTAAGGAACTAAACTTACTCTGAAAGACATTTCTATATTTTCACCTCCCCAGATTTCCATTTCTTCATCATAGCTTCCAATGTGTTCAAAGTAGTCTTTTGATATTGAAAAGAGACCTCCAGCAAAAGTAGGTGTTCTGCAAAAACAAAATTTTACTGAGAAAGACAGAACGTTTTTTTAAATATAGATGTGAAATCATGGTGCAACTGTTCTAGGAATTTTCCATGCAGTTGTTCGTATTTCACTACTGTGATGCATATTCCTGGCATAGATAACACTTCTAGCACTTAAATATGTTCACACAGAGTCTCACTTGACATTTATTAAGAACTTGTTCAGACTAACAATTGCTGGCATAAAAGAAAGCATCAGGAAAACAAACAGATTTTCTCTGTATGGAGGAAATCAAGCAAAAGTACAACTCCTACAGACCAGTAACTGTCTGTGGACAAAGCAGGTCCAATTATTATCAAATGCACTACTGTATAAGTCTGGTATTTGGGTGCTCTGACCCTTTTTGTCATTCTTTCAAGTAAAGTGAATGAGAAGACAGAATCATTGTACTGTCTCTGAAAATACCTTTCTAATCCTCCTCCATGCCTCCCCCCTAGGAATATAAGCAATTTCCACTGTATATAGAAGAAGTAATGCAGAGCAATTACTACCTTAAGGAGGCTATATTTTTATGAATGCTTTAAAATGTGGTTTGTAAAGAAAGTATAAAAAAAACATCGAAGATACTAAGATGTCTCATTACGCTTATCTGAAGAACTAATTTATTTACAAACTATTGTTCGTAAGATAAACTCTGTGAAAACAGAAGGATTTAAATAGTATTCAAATTAAATTTACCTAATTGGATAGGTTTCATCCTTTCTTCTTTTATTCTCATGTTTAGGAAGAGACTCCCATCCAAATGACAAACTCCAATCAAAATTTCCTCTGTTGTGGCTATGCACATAAGGAGATGGTTTACTGAATTCAAAGGTATTGAGATCGATAGAAGCAATGTCAGGGCTTACAACGGCGACAGGATTCTCAGCTATTCTTGCCAATAATGGCTCTAACCAGCCATAAAAGCATTCACCTGTGGAGAAAATGGGAACACTGAATTTTGGCTTGGCTATAAAGTAGTACAAAGGGTATGTTTTAACATGTCCAGCAAGCCAATATGGACTATTTTAAAATAGCATTGTTAATTGTACTTTCAATAATATGAAATAGCAATAGGAAAGATGATATATTGCTAACATTTATAATTCATTAAAAATCTGCAACATTAAATTAAAGACAACAGCATTATAAACCAGACCTGACATGTTTACAGGTTACACTTACAATGAGCATCCAGGAAGGTAAGGGTCTCTCCTGTTGCTACTGAAGCTCCCAACAACCGTGCAGTGATCAGACCTTTTCTTTCCTTCTGACGGACCACTTTAACTATCTGAAACTGTTTCACATATTCATCTAGTTTATCATGCAGGTACTCTAGAAAGAGAAATCAGTGTCAGGATATTCAGGGTATACACATGCCACTGCCCAAAATGTTACACTGTTAAGTGAACAAGATAAACAATTCACACTAATCCCAGAAATTATCTCTACATCAAAGCCATAAAAATTCTCATCTGCTGAAGGTTATTTTTAGGACCTGAGTATTTTGGGGGTAAGGGTGTAGGAAGAGGTGACCAGCAGAGAACAGGAGATGGAACATTAAAATAATTCTGAACAAGAAAGGATGTGCTAGTACATCTCTGCTGCAGTGTTAACCGTTTGAATACCAATTCCATTTTCATAGTAAATGGATCTCATATTATCTGCAGAACATGCAAATTCTTTCCTTAATGATGACACATTTACACAGTTTTCAAAGGCTACAGTATTTACAACAACAACAGAAGCCAAAATTAAGTGTTCCGATTTTAAGAAAGAAACCCACACCTCGCATGAAACATCCCACATTATCTTTTTTATTCTGCCCATCCTAAGTATTAAACTGTACTACTCAGCATACTTCACATCCAAGTGCTTCCATATACTCAATACAGACTTGTAAAAAAGTGTAAATAGTGATAAAGAGACCTTAGGCAATTTATCTGCAATCCTAACCTCTTCAATTAAAAACAAAAACAGAAGCAAAAGCAGGAAGATTTCTTACCATCTACACTGGCATCATCCACCAAAATAATCTCTTTCAGCAGTATGGCAGGAGATGTGTACATCACACTGTGGACAGTTCTGAGCAGAGTTGACCACGCTTCATTGTGGAAAACAATGATAATGCTTGTGGTTGGCAACGGCGGGCAGCGCTTAAACTTTTGTTCAATACATCTACAAATTAGAAAGTGTCAGGCGTTACAAAATGGACAACAATTTTTTACTCTAACTCTTAAACGCTTCTTTCTAGTACAAAACTTTATAACTATGGACATTAAATTGTCCTGCTTTTCAGCTCTCTATCCTAGCTTTGGAGTGCAAAGATAGGTACTTCAACTGAAGCAGCTGTTCAGAATATTTTTTTTAATATAATGATTGAGAATTGAACAACTTAGTTTTGCTTCTGCCTGCCTCACACACATTTGAGTGCATTTCATATAATACCAAGGCCTTCTTCAGGAAAAAATATTATTTTATTGAGACCAGAAGGTACTGACTGAGCTAACTCAAAAGTCACTGCTGAAACCTAAGAACACAAAGAAGAATATTTATTAGAAAAATTCAGAGTTTGCAAGGAAAATATAGCCCATCTAATTCAAATTTCAAAGCTCTGTAGAAGTGCTATGTAAGGCTTAGGGCAGCAGGTCCCATTCAAGGGATACAATTTTAAACCCACAGTATTTCAAGACTCACGTATCCTAAACATAACTTCAGATCCAATGGCAAGTCAAGATGACAATGCTGTATTCATAAGTTGCACACTTACTGTTTAGGGCCTGGAGGACACCCCAAGGTAATAACCACAGTCACTGCCTCACAGAATACACAAGCAAAGCCTCCCCAGTTGTGCTCTAGGAGAGGTTATGGTGAGCTGCACTGTGTATCAGCAGCGGCTCAGTAAGTTCAGCCACTTCTGGCACAGCTGGCTGACAGCATTTCACCTGACACTGACAGAGACTGCTCATGACTAAAACCCACTCTGCCCAAGTCTACAGTCTACATTTAAAAAATTCTTCAATTCTTCAAAGACTGCTGCTGAGATCTTCCATTCCCTTGTTCCCCCAAGTTTACAAATCCAAATTTATTAAATTGTGCCTAAATTCCTAATTTATTAAATTAAATTACGTAGTTTTATTAACACTGAATGCTAAAAAAGTGGCAGGAGGGTGGTGTTTTAATTGGAAAAATGTTGAAACCACATTTTTATTCTAAGTAGAACTAAGCACGCTTCCTGAAAGTTACTCAGAAATTTTAGCCTTAAAGGCAAAATCAGAACACCTTATTTAAATATGGTTACTTTGAATTCAAAACCATGAAAGAAGTGAGCTTTTCTAAACATTCTTAGCTTTGGCACTGTGGATCACTATGTACAGCCAATCATTATGTATAGCTAGGAGACTTTCCTAAACTATCACCTAGCTGAACTCAAATCACTTTGCAGGCTGAATTTCTGAGAAGTTTTTCAACTATCAGGACATACACATTTCAACTTACTCAGGAGGTCGAGTGTCTGGTCCAAGATCTCGGTGTAAAGAAATCCTATCACTTGCAAATGCATTAAAACAGTGTTTCTCTTCTCCAGCCTGTTTTTCTTTCTGTTCTTCTGAATTTAAGTTGATGGTTTTAAATGCTTTGCCAGAAGCTCCAGGAGCATTGGGATCTTGAAGGGGCCGATCTAGAAAGGGTTTCAGTTCCACTGGAGTATAGTGCCCTGGCAAGCAGAGTCTCTCTCCAGGAACCTTAGTTTGCCTAATGGGTGCTTTTATCTGCATTTTTGGCTTTGCACCTTTGATATTGTTCATAGCATTTAACACAAGACCTAATACATGACTTTTCTTTCCAACAACTGGCTCAATCCCTGCTTCATCCTTAAAATCTTGAACACCCACTTCTCTTTGTAATAAAAATAAAAATACCAGAAAGACAAACACAATAATGCTAAACTTCCAGAGTTTCCAGTGAAAAAATGTCTTAAATAGTTTAGGTGTCTTTTTCAAGGCCATTCTAGTTTTAAAAATTTTCACACAACAAATACAGTTTGTTCTTCTTGTTGAAGAACAGTTGTTCATCAAATATGTCACAGCATTTCTTGAAATTGTAACACCTGTAAAGTAAAACAAATAGTATTAATTTAGACATCTAGTATATTCAACTATGTAAAGCCATAAGAAATTAATGGGAAGGAATTAATCCACAGCTCCCAAAAGTCAAACGTTATGCATGCTACATCACTTAAAGATACATCAAACCTATCTATAAGATACCCAAAATGCCCTTTCCCTTCTTTTTGCTTTGGGTTTTATTTGTTAAATATATTGCTTCATATAGAAGAACCAGAAATCAGGCATACCATCAAGAATAAAACATTATTTCTACACAGTGCCACTACTTCAAGTTTATTTTCTTCCAAGTAGTTTGCTTAAAATTAGAATAAAGTCTTAGGGAAGCAGGGAATTTTAATTCAATGATGGGACAGAAGAAGAACAGGTGGCATCAACACATTAGTTCAAGCTGCATGTCAGAGAGAGCCATGTGGAAAGTGAACTAAAATATAGGAAAGACTTTTCAATCAACTTATTTCAACAATTTTCAAGTTTCTGCCATTATTTTTTTCACAGACAAGTAACTATTCATTTGCTTTCAAAGACAAAATTATGAAAGACATTTGAGGACCACCAAATCCAAGTGATTTGAATTAAATTCTCTCTGCCAAACTGGCAGTTTACAAGGGGATACCGTCTGCCATCAGCCTGAATAGCTAAAATAGCTATTCAGGGAATAGCTTCATTTTTGTCTAAATTACATGTATGTGAATCCTGAAGAGAAATAAACAGCATCTAGCTCAAAGCCACACTTCCCACTTGCTAACTACTGACCACAAAATTGCAAAAAACTACTTTTCTATTTATTCCTCTGAAATACAAGTACATCTTAACTGGAATAATATATACTCAGGAAGAGATACAAGTCAGAGAAAACAAAAACCCCCACCCCTTACCTGCTTTTCTTCAAGAATCTGTAGGAGAAACTAAGCATCTAGATTTCTTCACATTATACTGTTTTTCAAAGTTTATGCCAGCTTAATAAACCCATACATTCAAACTACAGTGTTTTTACCATAGAGTTATTGTTAAAAGAATGCAGAGGGGAAGCATATTAGATCATACTAAAAGGTACCAAAAACATGCTTCTCAACTCAGAAAATTTCAAAAAAACCAAACCAAACAAACCAGTCCACTTCTGTGTCACATATTATTTTACATTTTTCCTTACTGCTGAAACATTTGAACTACAATACTGATACCTTTATATGGAACACTACAAATAAAAACTTTCTTCCCTTTGAAAGAATTGCAACCAAATTACCAAACTACCAGACTGAAAAATGTCTTGTTTTCACACAGTGTCTGGTGGGTTGGTCTTGACTGGCTGCCAGACACCAACCCAGCCACTCTCTTGCTTTCCATCCTCAGCATGACAGTGGGGACAAAAAAAGATAGAAAATCACATGGGTTGAGCTAAGGACACCGTGATCACTTACCAGTTATTGCCACAGGTGAAATAGACTTGCAATGATGAATTTGAATTTACTGCCAATTAAAAGTAAGTAGGATGGTGAGAAACAAAGGCTCAAACTACCTCCCCTGGCTCAGCTTCACTCCTCCCTTCCCAATTCTTCTCTCTCTTCTGACCTAGTGGTCAGAAGAAATGAATAATAAGGGCTGTGGTTAGCTTGTAAGACTTCAGCACTCCTTCCTCTGCACAATTTTCCCCTACTCCAGCACAGACTCTCTATACAGTGCAGTACTCCAGCACAAACTGCTCCACCATGGCCATCCAGGGGTCACAGCTCCTGCCAGGATCTTGCTCCATAGGCTGCAGCTTTCTCCAGGGGAAATGCACCTGCTCTGGCCTGGGTTCCTGCACAGGCTGCAGAGTGCATGCCTCCTCTGGGGTGGTCCTTCATGGGCTGCAGAGAAATTCTTCACTACAGTCTTCTCCATGAGCTGCAGGGGGAATATCTGCTCCAGTGCCTGGAATACCTCCTCCCCTCCTTCTTCACTGACCTTGGGTTCTGCAGAGTTTCACATTTTTCTCACTCCTCTTTCTCACAGCTGCTGTGCAGTATTTTTTACCCTTTCTTAAATACCTCATCACAGAGGCACCACCTGCTACACAGGGTGGCTCAGCTTTGGCCAACAGTGGGTCTATTCTACAGCTGGCTGGAACCAGCTGTGTTCAGCCCTGGATGAGACAAGGTGGGGGGGCAGCCCCACATCTCTTAGCACAGAGGCCACCTGTGCAGTCATCCCCACCCCCTAACCTGGCCATGAAAATGCAATACACAGTGTAAAACACCAACTATATGCACAGATCAGCACTCAGCATTGCAGGGACTATAGCCTCTGCAGGTTGCTAACCAGGAATGATTTCCTAACACCATCAAAAAGAAAATCACATTACTGTTTTGCAGTGCACCATGCACAAGCATGTAAGATACTAGTAAATCTGAAAGCCTAGAAATCAATACGCAGTATAAATATATCCTCCTCAAATGGAAAAAAGCCAAAACCAAACAGCTGTATATATACCTCCATCCATCCATATATTTGAAATACATGATGTCATAAGAGGCATTAGAAACAAGAGACATGTGGAGAATGCTGCCACAACACTTGTATGAAATATGTCTGTCCCCAGGAAAAAACCTTCCCTGGAGTTAGGTGGGTTGTGGAAGACAGCAACACAAGTTAACCCTTTCCGTGTGCATTAGAACACTCTACCAGCATGCCATGCACAGAAACAAAAGATGTTTCTCTAAGAAAAGATCAAGTGACAGCCTTGGAATATTATGTGCAGCAAACACCAGGTGGACAGAGGCTTGATTGCTACAAGCATACAGCAAAACCCTTTGATATAGACAAATGCTGAGTGTAGCTTTGTTGACAAAATATCTGATAGGGATATTGCTTACAATAAGAGAAGAGTTCTTTGTCCCACAAAAGAGTAGCAGTTTCCAGAACAGAAGCTGCATTGTCCAAAGAACTTTTGCCATGAAAGCTGTATTTTACTTAGGGTTTTTACCAGGATAATTTTGTAGTCAGAAATACAATCTTTACTCCCCACAAATGCCTCTCACATTTTCATGGCATAGCAATGTGTCAGCAAACACAGACCAAGCTACTATTCAATCCTCCAGGACATGATGAAGAAATATGTGGCATGATTAAACTCCCTGGGGTGACTGTTTAGCAAAGTGTTTAATCTTCTATTCATTAGTGTTATTTTCACTAATAGTAGTCTGGATTCTCACAGCCCTTTGAAATAACTAGCCCTAAACATCAGAAGTTGGATCCTTTTTTTTTTTTTTTTTGGGAAGAAAAAAACCAGAAAACTAAAATGTACTACTGAATTCTTCTACAAGTGCCAAAAAGCAGCTGCCACACTACTTCAAACCACATCACATGGGCAGTGTGAGAATTCAATGCAGTCTATGTTACACTATGCCACCCACTGGTTCTGATGTCAGACTGTCTGCAAAAACTCGCACAAGAAAGCCTTGCTAATGTAGCCAACAAGTAGAAAACTCTGAAATTTTTGTTAGCTTGATCTAAACAACACAGTAGAGAATAATCTTTTATAAAAAAGTGAAAGTGTCATTATCCTAAATCAGCAAAAATCCTTTCCAATCATAAGAGACAAAATTAATTTGGGTTAGTATCAACAGTATATTTGACCTCAGTTTTTTTAAAAAAAAGTATTTTAAAATCCACTTTTCTTCTATCCAAGTGTTAAACAGGTTTCAAGTGTTTCCTGACAATACTGCTTATAGAACATAAAAATCTAAAAGAATAAGTAAAAATACTAAAACCAAAACAAAAAAAATCCTTAAAAAATGGGAAAAATAGGGGGAAATGGTTCAGAATTATTCTAATCAAAATAATTTAACTACACAACTTGGCTTCAACTTGATCGAATTCTTCTATAATTGGAGGAGCACAGTCTCACAGAAAGTTTGTCTATTTCTCCTTGTCACCAAAGCATACAATCCCTTCCTCAAACATTAGAGCCCCTTTAATCAAAGGTGGGTGTGAATAAAAACACTGAACAAATACTTCCACTACTGGGATTTCTGAATCTAAAATTCTGAACAGGGCTTTTTGTTTTCTTTGTGTGAGTATCAATGTAGGTGCTACTAAAACATTAGTTACTGAAATAATCAGTTTGGTAAATGATATTTTCATCTTCTACCACCATGGACATTGATGCTTTTTTCTATTGGCAAATAAATTTTAAAAAAATCAATGAACCAAACTGTTTGTACTTCCTAGAAGTTCATCTCAGAGGAACATCCATTCACATAAGCACCTTTGGTGACAGACTAAGAAACATCCAATTCAGAGTGAACCCTTCATAAAGGTCAAGCTTTATATGGTATGTGAAGATTCTTCATAGAATAAAAACCATTCAAAAGCACTTCAGAAACTTGGGATAATTGAATATGTTGCTTAAGTTTAGCAAACTATGCTACTGTTTAGAAGAATATTAGCTCATGAAAGAAATAAAGGAAAAAAAAGGTAAAATGAAAGGTACAGAAGTTAAAGACTAAAGACATGAAAATGAGAAACAGAATCAGCAGTTTAGTTTCTATCTCCACACTTGCTCATCTGTTTCAGTCAGAGCTCCTACTGAATGGACTCCTAAATAGGGTACACATACCTGAAAGAGAAATTCACAAACCCTACCCAGGTGCTGTTCCTCCGGGTACATTCTTTGAAGCTCAGCCAGTTAAAAAAAGTTGTTAGAGGAATTCTGCATGTGTTCAGTTCCTGAGCCTTCATTTTAGAAACATTAGGAGCACAGGTTATTCTAGCAAATACTGGATGTAACCTGCCTCACTGATTAGGACAGAGAAAGCAGAAGCTGCACCTTTGGAGGAGCATTCTGAATGAAGAAGTTTATTCTGAAGAAGTTCTGAGCAACAGCAGCACAGAACAGCTTACTGAAACAAACTTGGTAAGTATCTCTTTCAGCAGTTTCATTTAGATTAAAAAAATACCTGAGGAAAAACCCCAAACAAGCCATCACCAAACCTCCTTCTATGTATTTTAATGGAAATGCTTCAAATTCAAACTTTCACATGCTCTTTCAAAATTAGCACTACTACCATTTTTCCACAGCCAAGCTCTGCATGTGGTAGGCAGAGATAGACAGTTCTCTTTGACAATTAATAGCATAGTAAAAATACACAGTAACCATATATTATAAAAATATTTATCGTTTATTTTTACAGGGATATATAAATGACAAGCACTTATCTCAAATTTAAATTTCACTCAGCTCTGTATTTTCCTTTTTTACCTTGGTCAGATTGTTTTGGGCCTCTGTTAAAATTATTTTAGACTGTCCCTAAAAATGCTATGATGAAAAGTGACCATGACAGCAGCTGTAAAGTGCTGTTTTAACTTAGAAGGATTAGTGTCTCATTTTCATTTAAGCACCAGAAGATAACGTCTGGACCATAACTAGAGCACTTTTGTTTGTTTTCCTGATTGTAACACACTTCTAAGATAACAAAACCATCCAAGTATCAAGTGCAGGCCTTAAAATCACAGTTTTCTAACTGGCCTTAAACTTTTGTTTAAGTGATAAGCATAAAGCAAAGAAAGTTACCTCATGGGAGATTTACTGGAATAGTGACTGCTAAACTAATCTTTGTTGGAAGCTCCCATAGCTGTCTTCACTTTCCTTCTCTCCCCACTTCAGTGTCTCTTTTCCAGATACATTTCACTGCTGAATAATGTCAGTCCACTGTAGTTAGTCACTGATGCTAAAATTTAATTGCTGAATCACTGTCAGTGGTTTTGTGATATGATTCTCTTTAAGCAGAACTATTTCCTATGGTACATGATCTCAGTGAGTCTTAGGGAAAATCAGAGAATAGTAAGACAGCAAGTGAATAAATCCATGTTCTACATGACTGAAAAAAATCTAGCATTTTATAGTTTAGAAACTTGAGGCACTTTCTGATTTTGTAGAAGACAGGCACAACAATGAACATATTAGTATAAGAAACTCATAAGTGTTGGCAGGCAACTGATCAACATTTCATATCATGAACATGATTCTCTACATGGATTCCAAAAGCGGGAAAACCTTGGACTAGGTAACAGCTCTTCAAACAGGCAAACCAGGCAGCAAACTTGGCAAAGCAAAAAGAAATTATCTCAAAGCAACACAGTGTGTCATCTAGAACCACAGACACTGGGGAAACGTCACAGAGAGGGCAATTATACCTTGTTCCTAGTTTGACAGGGTTCAAAATAGGAACAGATATCCAGGCTGCTTCTGGTACCACCCCACCCCAAAAAAGACACAAGTTAAGTGGCCATAGCAGTTACGAGGAGGAGGAGCTCCTTCCCACAGCGCAACAAAAATAGCAATTCAGGCTCTCCGTAACTAACTTAATTTTTACTTTGCTCTGTCATTGAGAAGCCTCAAGATGACAGTAGCAGATGCCAAACTGACCAGGCGATTGAGCAAACCTGGCTAAAAAAGGAAACCAAACCCTGTAAGTTGGCTGCTTTGTCTCAGGCTCTGAGTCTGGCAGTCAAGACTGAAGTGATCAATAGAATTGATAATCTTTTAAACAAAGGGGGGCTTTTTGTTACAGATGACTAACATATACAACACTACTGAGATGCATACATATTTGTATTTCCAGTAAGACTTTTTATTTAACCGATTAAAATTTTTATGAATAAATTCCCCTTTGTAAAGGAATATTTTATACGAAGTTTAAAAAAATTCAAACTCCATGACACTGAGGTTATAAAATTTAAAGTACACTTCTGTCAGTTTCCAGACCTAAGCAAACAGTGTCTAAGTACAGTCACCTGCTGTGCAGAACAAACTGCCGGAGGGCAGAGACAACGCGGTAACTCTTGAAAAGCCCTCTGAGTAGGATGAAATACACCAGAGTTATCTGGCAATGTACACAACTGGTACCACCCTGAATCAACGCGGTACTGCGGGCAAACCCTTGGGCGGGATCCGTACGTGGCACAGACACCTCCCTCGGTCAATACCTTCGGTTTGGACAGTGCATCCGGCCGGCACTTCCCGGAGCCCTGTGTGCAGGGGCGGCAGCCCGGGCTCCCCTGCCGCTCCCCGCTCCCCGAGCGGAGCCCTCAGGGCCGGGCTGGCCCGGGCAGGCCCCGGGGGGGCCGGCGGCCGCGCCGCGAGCGAGGGNCTCCCGGACCTCACGGCTCCCGCCCGCCTGCCGAGCCCCGCCGGGCGGAGGAGAAGCGGCAGCGGACGCTGCCCCGCCGCCGGACACAGCCCTTGGACAGGCCAAGGAGGAGCGGAGCCGCGCGGTGCCTGCCGAGGCTCCCCCACTCACCTCGTCCGGCGGGAGGACGGCGAAGGCGCTGCCGAGCCAGCGGCACCGGAGCCCCGGGAGGCCGGAGCCGGGCGGGCTCTGCGGCTTCCGCCCCGTCCCGGTGCGCCCATCCCGCTGTGCCCATGCCGCCCCCGCCCCGGACACGGAGCTCCGGCACTGCGCGCACCCAGCGCCGCACGGCCGAGCCGCTGCCGGGATCGCTTCTACCAGCCGAGCGTCACGTCGTGCTCGATGGGATCGACCGAGCACTCCCAGTGCTGGGAAACAACACAAAATCCCTCTGAGGTGAGATCGCAGACTGGGAGAAGGGATAACACACTGAGCTCGCTCTCTTCACAATGTAGTTTCCCAGAGAGATAGGAACAAAATCACTTTTCTACAGAAGCATGGTTGATGTGGGGCAGAATAAACTCAAAGTAATATTTGCACTCCCGAAACAGAGTGTAGAGTCTCCCCTTTGTACACTCAAATAATAGCAGCACAATCAGCGCCTCACTCCAGCACTTCAAAACTTCTTTCTCTGAGCTGCTGAACCGCAGGTATCGAAACGTGCTCTGCAAGTAGAAGGGAGTTGGCAGTACTTGTACTGATTTGTGTCACAGCAGTGCCAAAAATGGTGATGCCAGTTCTTTTAGGAATTAATATTGCCCAGGAACACTTAATACAGATTCAGACTAGAATCTCTCACAATTCATGGTTCTGTTATTTCTAGAATGCTAAAATCCTTCCTTAGGACTTTGACAGCTGATGCCTAAACCATGCTAAGCACTACAGCACCTGAGACAGGCACAGCCAGTGTTCAACATTTGTAGCACAAAATTCAAGTAAGGCAAATTTCTAGAGTGAACTTTTAAAAATCTGCTGTTTCCCAAAATAAAGCCTGCATTAACAAGGCATACTGATTCCTTAAAAAACACGAACACCTGACCCCAACCATCAAGAACAGTATCAAAGGAAAGCCCACCTCAGAACAAGACTTAGACCATTCACATAGCTTCTCTTTTACCAAGCATCATGACACATAATTAGCAACAACTTTTAGCAGAGACAGAAGCATGAGATTTTTGCAGTAATGGTCTAATTCTCTGTATTTTATGGCAGGTCAATGTTGCAAAAACCAAAGAGTTCTAATTTCATTGCAAGATGAAAGAAGTAAAATCACAGAGCAAATGAAGCTAGACAGCAAAATCACTGCTAAGATCTTTGAAAAGTGGCACAGTTATAAGCTGATGGAAAAGTACTTGCTAGTGAAATATTTTCTCATTTTCCTATTTTTCCTGTTCAGCACTGTATATGGAACACATTAATGAGTTCTTTATCATCAACTTCTGATGAGCCAGAATCCACTGCCACTGAGACTTTCCCAAAATGTCACCTTTCAAAGAAAATCTTCAGCAAATTATCTAACATTATAAGCTCTGTTTAAAGTATGTTTATAAAACTACTCACTCATTTCATGAATAACAAGATTACATTTTAGGTTACTAAACCAGAGCTGCCTGATTTTAGAAAGTCTACAGCCTTTCTAAAAATTGCAGTAGCTATATTTGAGAAATTATTTGCAATAGTCAAACCTAGTCCAGAAATGGGAAAAAAACCCACTTCAAATTCCTTCCACTATATTTTTGTTAAGAATCTCACTAGTTTACTTATTTTTAGCTATTTATACTAATTATTTTTGCCTAATGATACTTCCTAGCCCATCTTTTTAGCATTCTACAAATCTAAAAAAATGGTTGCAAATTAAAATAGTATTTAGCACAAAGTTACCAAAAATAATTTCATTTCCTCCAGAAGATATTCTAGGCATTCTGTACCTGCAGATGAAAAGGGGGACAAGAGAGAAGAGGAACAGACACCTATGGCTTATGTTGCTATAGCTACAAGATGCTTAGATTTTCAGTTCCACTGAATGAATCAATAGAAAGCACAGCTTCACTCTCCTCTTTTATTCATCAAAGGCAAAACTGGAAGATGGGTTGCTAAGCAACATCACACTGAAGAGTGCAGGGCTTTGAAATTAGCATTACTGACTCCCCTCCATCCTAGAAGTCTGTTCCATTCAAACCCACTTATTAAGGAGCTAAAACACCCCACCAAACTACCAGAACATGCATTTTTAAAGTAAGAAACAGTAAAAGCAGAGAGGTATGACACCAAACCATTTTTTCTGCAGATAAAGTAAAAAAAAAAAAAAAAGAAAAGAAAAGAAAAGAAGCACAGGAAAACTTAAACTGGCTTATATAAATCAAAAGGATATAGAAAGGACATTTATTTCTACTGAGAATATTTTAGTAAAGCAAGATTTTTTCTGAAAGACTACTCAGAGCCTTTTTTTAAAAAATGAAATCCAAAGACATGTCTCATTTATACTCCTACTTTAAAAACCTCACATACAAAAAGACACCAGTGCCTAGATGGCTAGTGGGAATTCAGAAATCCTACCTGCATGGTATATACATAAAACTCTTCACCAGAAGTTAGCCACAGAAAGCCTAAAGTCTCAGTTCAATTTCTATCAGCTGATTTCTGTATCCTACTATTGTCGTGACTTAATCTGTCACACCCACCGTATGAAAGGCTAATGTCCATCTTAAGAGAAAAGCAAATCAGATGCAGGTATCTTGACATTTTTGAAGACATTTTGCACCTATTTTTATTCTGAACTTCAGCTAAATGTTATTCCTACGCTATCCAGGAAGTAACAACACATTGATACTGCATGAATAGGGCTGTGTACAAAGAAATGTTGTTTTACTTGAAGCTGCCTCAATAAGTACTTATTCTTTTAACAGTGAAAAAACCCCACCAACGAGTATAGTTTAAGAATTTATAATCTAATGACCCCCCCCATCCTCAGCATTTCCCAGATCTTTCCGTGTTCCTCATTCCACTCCAATACCAACTTACATGCAAGAAACAGGGGGCAGTCACATACACACTGACTGATGGTGCTCAAACACAAGCGACAAAGCCACACTGAAATTTTCAAGGACTCCTAGGGAAGAAGAGGCCACTTATTTGAGTCTCTTCTCCGTTCTAATATCCACACAAATCTTGCAGAAGTGTTGTAGTCCTGAGACACATCTATTAATTTTAGTTTAGCTGACCAACAGCTCCGAAGTCACTGGAATGCAGGACGTAGCAACCACCAGCAGGCAGCATCATTGTCTAAGTGATGCACCTCAATGGATTCAGAAAACAAGACTAAAAATTCCCAATATACAGCACCCAGTTACTGACAAGCAAGATTAGATACAACAGCAAACACTTTGGTAGCCTTAACATTGAGTTGGCCTACAAAGAAACCCAAAAATCAAACTGAAAGTGACTTTACACAATGTCAACGGGAAAAGCCAAAAACTCAAATGGCTTATAAAAATATAAACTTAATCACTACCATTAAGAATTCCCTTTTCATGCCAAAATATTACTTTTCTAGTAAGACACATACCACATCAAGTACTGTTTGAAAACCAAATACAGCAGTGCAACAAGGATTTTTCAAAAATTCTGCATTAGTGAAAAGAAACCTGATCTTTCTCCTTCCTTTCACTCATTCATGACACGCTACTGCTCCCCTAAAGATTCACCGGCGTATTCTGTATGTGAGACAAAACCATAATCCCCTGTAATAAAAGTTATTTCCCTAAAAAGATGTTTTATAGAGATCAAACAAAATGAGTGTCAATTTCTGCTTATGACTATATTGTCTACACATACAGTGTTGAAAGACTATCCAATACAAATTAAGAACAGTTTTCTTCATGGAAATCTGACAGGTGGATAATAGCATGAGCAGAAAGTAAATTCTGTGTAAGAGCTGCAGGATCTATGAAAGTCTTTATTCAGCATTTATATAGGATCCAAATTTTAACTGTTACATTTTCATTTAAAATGTAAATTTCATTAAAAATACAAATTTGAGAACAATACACACAGCAGTTTTCAAGACTTTTTAAAAAATAAAGCACATCTTTAATATATGTAGAAAAAAAACCCCTCATAATTTAGAAATACACCTGTACTAATAAAGATTGCACCGTAATTATGAAGTAATGGTTTATATGAACTAAACCCCACCATTTTAACAATGCACCTCCAGTAGATAAGACAGGTTGTTGTTTTAGTGTTGTTTCAAATAAACACAAAAAAAATTGAGTTATGTTTAAAACATTTTTATAATGCTGATAACAATTTACATAACACATGTGGGAGTGGGAGTGGTATTCTATCCTGAATGAGAACAAATACAATTTCTTTCAGGGTTGCAGATTTTTCATAAAAATAATCCAGATCTCTAATATAGTTAAATTCATCACATCCACAGTATTTTTTTGCTGACATGGTCTCTGTCACTGAAGTATTTCATTCATAGTTTCCAAAGTCTGGTTAACAGAACTCCATGAGTCATACAAAAAACAAATTCAGTTTCTTAGAGATGCACGGGCCTTGTCCAGTATTTCCTTCCTGATCTTCGGATAGTTTGGATGTACTTTAAGGACCTGTCAAAAGACAATACAACCCAAAAGTTCTGAGTTGGTAATCCCCCTCATCACTGAGCTGACACATTTTAAAACTAAAATAACAATAAGTTTGTTTTCAGAATGCACAAATATTTAATTGTGGACACAGACCACCACACATGCAAGTCAAAACAACCTCTATCAAAGACACTTTGCTTCACTTCCACTGTCCTTTCAGCTTGGTGCAAAAGACACAGGGATCAAGGGCTAAGGCCTCTGAGTGGCTTGAAATGCCATGAATCAGAAGGCACCTCTGGAGACATTTCTGAGGTTTTAAGCATGCTTTCCCTGCAATGATGAACTGCCTTTATGGTTTAATTCCCTTGACTCTTTCTTAGCATATTCTACCTACTTCGTCTCCCCTTCAATTACCTCTTCTCCCTTACCCTTACATTCATTTTGTCCTTCCTAATTATCTTTATTTCTCCCAAAATGAGCAAATTTAATTTATTTTATTATTAGGATGAATAATTATTAATTCATAATATTCCCTCTGCTTCTTTAATAGTAGCCCTTCCTCTTACTCTACATTCTCTCTGCTTATGTTTAGACATAAAA